AGTGATACTACATGACTATAACAATAAAATTACAATTGGCCGTAATAGGATAAGTTTTCTTGAACATATATAAAGCTGAAACACAGTATACAGATGAGAAATCCTTCACCTGCCAAAATATTTGCAGTTCTGTTACCACTGGCACACTGCTTAGCCAGCTCGTGACCACACTGTTCTCTGGCACAACTTAGTAATACAGCTTGGTCACCTGACCACCTACAGCCTAGGGATTCGACTATAAAGGAACACAACCATACTGCTGGGGTCCTCTCCTTGCTCCTCCCCTCCTCTAAGCAAGCTCTGGGTGCCTGTTAATATGTTAGATTGGTTGCACTGTGCAATGCAACAGAGCCCAATTGGCTCCTAGTGCTGGCCTATCCTCCTACAGCCTTCGGGGTCTATTTATAAATCCTTTGCATAGCTTATTCATCCAGCAAAGCTGCGTGTACAGTACATTTGTTCTGCGGGAGTTTCCCAGCTGTTGTGAGAATGGGGCAAAAACTATTGTTTTAGGGTATTTTCTCTTCTGGACGAATGCTCTTCAAAGTGAAGGGGGGAGGGGGGATACCACATTATGGCCACTAGATGGAGCTGAGGATCACAGGAAATATATACATGTTAGTCATGAGATACAATGTTACAATTCAAGAGACTACTGGAGGGAATGAGCATATCAATGTAACTATTGCGATCCTTGTACACCGGGGCCTGATTTCCCACAAGGCCAACCAAGGCCTGGCCTTGGGGCAGCAGGTAGTAGAGGGACAGCAGGGGAGTGCAATTCCTATCTCCCGATGCCCGGGAAATGCAATTGCTTTGTACAATTATCCCTGCTTTGGGCAAGCAGAGATAAATGTACAGCGGGGAAGCCGCCACTTGTTTTGTACAAGTGATCTCGGTGATGTCGCCAAGATCACTTGTATGCAGGTCTGCCATTCTCCATGGGGGGGGGGGGGGGGGGGGGGGTGGTGGCGATTAATAAATGGAACATATTGTCACTTTGGACATAAAGAGCAATAATAATAGCACCATACACAAAAGCATGACGCCCAGGAATGGAATGACGCCCGGCCTGCAGTATTTTTTTATATGAAGGTCCATGTTGTAAATCTTTCAAGGCCCATCCTGTCATAAGCCTGTAATTGGTTCTTGAAGCTCCTAGAGTAGACCCCAACCTTAAAGGTTTACAAGACTTTGCTGAAAGGGACAGCTAAGTCCTTCTCCGATCCCATCTATCAGTGGCGTGATCCCTCTGCGGAGAGATGGTGTTAAAAGGTGGATG